CCTTCAAAATTACAAAGAAACCCACTTGCCTGGCTAAAATTCGTTCACCCGTTTCAAAAAATCACGCCGTGTTCGCCATTTTGTCAAGTTTGCAACTAATTCGCTCGCTTGAACCAAGTGTGCAACCACTTCACGTCCTGCCCCTTGATTTACATCTGACTACTTTCTACCATTCTTTTTTTCCGAATATGCCAGCATTTAAAAATAGAACTTTAGGTTGTTAAAAATAGTTTAGTGGGTATGTCATTTTTGCATGTACCGCCATGGATAAAAGCTTCTTACGACAAAAGTATTGAAATGATCTTTAAAGAGCATTTCAGTGTCTTGCGATAATGAACTTAATGCCTTTTGAAAAACAAGGTAAAGTAAAACATCTACGTGAAGTGAAAATTATATAACATTAAGTCTGGAGACCAGTGTCTGCCTACAACATGAGATCATAGTTTAATTTATTAAAGGTAATCTGGAATACAAAAATTATAATATCTAAACCCGAAGTATTACTATTTAAAAATAAATCTAAAATGCTTTTTAACGACATATTACTAATGTATAAAGTTATTATGATATATTATGGAACAAAGGACATTTATGATATTGGATGTATTATTTTCCTTGTAGAATAGTGTATAATATACCAACAAAATTTTTATATGTTTCAAACAATAACTATATACTTCATACATCAGACGACTGAACAACTACTGCAACCTTAAACTCTTTAGTTCAAAATTAAACTAATTTAATTGTCTGGCTGTCGGATTATAAATAGATAAGATAATGCATTGCAATATATCTTAAAGATCTATAGAAAATAAATATATATACAAATAAAGTCAAACCTACTGAATATTTGAATTTATGTTATTTTTGCAAATATATATTGCAACCTACACGTTATGCAAATTCATACGAATAAGAACTTTCCCTTTCAACAACATCAGTGTTGGATTTCAATCAAGGTCACTGAAGGGATGAGTATGTTTCTAAAAAGGAGCTAAAAGCATAAAATCATTAGGAAAAGACTTATTATCATTGTTGTGTCACACTCACTTGGATCCCGGGGAGGAAATGCTTTCAAATTGATGCCTAATACGTTTATTCAGTGATAGATTAAAGTAGATAAAAGCAAGATAAAAGCTTTTCATGGTCGTTTAATACCTTTAGGAATAAATGTTCACAATTACAGCACAACAACTATTGATATTTTGAAGTAATAAAACTGTTTATGTGATATTATTTAATTAATATAGTGTTTGTTGTTGATTTTGTTGGGTTCTTTCCTCAAAATTCTAAACAAAATGTGATAGAATAACAACAGAAGGGCCGTAACAAGTACTCAATAAACTGTAATAGAAAACAATTTAGCATATAATTTACTTATAAACCAGTGGCTTAGTTTCTTTAATGCCGATGCGAGACAGATACCACACAGATTATTCAATTAATATTTTTTTCTCAATAAGTCAAAATAAATAAGGCGATAAAATCATAAAAATAATCCTAAATAACACGTTGAAGATAAGGAATAAACGCGTAATAATATAATTGTATGTAAAATGTCAGGAGATGTAAAATTTTGATTTACCAAAGTCGATTAAATAAAAATTTTAATACATTAATAGATTAAAAAGTTATACATGTATATGTTTTTCTGTGAAATAGAAATCAGCAGTTTATGAAATTTTATATACTTTCTAAAATATAGCGAGTCAATTGTCAGAGGTACCTTGTCCCAATGAATATGTCACATGATTTTGTTTCTTTAACTTTTTGAACAAAATACATATACGCAGAAAGATAGTTACGTTTATGAAATTAGATTTTATCAAATAATCGACGGCATCTTGTACAATACAAAAAAAAACCACAATATTAATAAGCAATAAGATAAAAAGTGTTGTTTTACACAGCATATCATGTTATGTTATTTCATTAGTAAATAAGCTTTATTGGATTTTTCTGTCTAGGAACTTAATAAGCTAGTTTTCGAGATTATTCGTATGTAATTAAATAACATGGAAATTAGGGGCATTTAAAGTGGTATAGAATGATGGTTACACATTTAACGCGATATAATTAATTACAGTTATCAAGTGTATATCAACTGGATATACGATCAATATGTTTCAATTTATATTTAGTTTTGGTCACAATAGTGAGTGAACTTATTTCACAGCTATGCGACACAGGCCAGTCAAGTATCATGTAAATAAAAGTTATTTACACCCGTAATCTGCGTATGATTACAATAGCATTTCATATTGAAATGGTGACTTCTGCTAAAGCCAGTTCCACTTCCGTCATTGAACAGGCTAAATCAAACCGAGTCTGCAACTTTTTTCAATTTTCAATCCAAGAACAAACGATCCTTAAAATAACTCCACTTATCTATCAGAATAACTTTGACAAAGTTAGAAGAAATGAAATGTGGTAATATTATTATAGATCGGTGGTTTTGAACCCAGGTGTGCATTCGTTTTGAGCATACTAAAGAGAACATAAGTTTCACTATTACAATATAACTTTCAATAAATATCTGAAACGTTTTCTTCTAATTATTGTTTAAAAACATATCAGTATCGAAAATCTGACCATCCTAAATCATCATAAAGAAAATTTGTGGCAAATCACATGACAAATGTATTAATAACGAGATGTAGAGCTCACACAAAAAGTGGTAAGAATTACACATATTATGACCATTATAATTAGGTCTCGCTTTATAGTTACGCGAAAGCTAATCTCAGGGTAGGTATACTCTGAATTGAACGTTCAAGTCCTCGACAAAAAAGTATGTCCATCTCTGAATTAAACTTTGAGCATAAATGCATATACTACTCGTACATCTTCAAACAATTACACGTCACACAACTACGTTTATTTATCGTAAGATAAGAGATGATGAGTCTGACTCACCCTGACATACATTTTAAAAATGAAGTTACTAATGTTTACGTCAAATGCTATCTGAATGATAGTAACCATTCAAGATTAAAGATCTTTTTTCAATAAATACCAGTCTCCAGTCAAGTTAAGGGCAACGCTTTCTTTTATTTGGAGTCCATACGCCGCTTTTCATGGAACGGCAAGAAAGAGTCACATTGAAGGTTCCATGATGACCGTCGTATGGACACATCTACGGATGTATTGTAAATTTAAATTTCACTATGTTTTAATTTCTTCATGTTTTAATGTTGTATTCTGCTTAAGCCAGTGCTAAGGGCTTGGACGGTAACTTGCACTTTTCACAGTACTGCCATTAAAACAGGCTCAATCAAACCGAAATGGCAAAACTGTGCGTTTTTTAGGGATTCTGTCTTTCATTATTTTATTACCACATCAGTATTATTTGTACTGTGTGAAGACCGTAAGAAGTCGTCCTGTTCATATATATATAATCAAAGATGTTATATTTTCGATCCTTACGACATTATTGTTGTGTGCAGATGTTTGTGGTATTTTCATTTTCTTCTACTTGACCATTTTCAACTTGCTTGGTTTCAGTATTCCTACTTGAATACTGTAAATTGCTCTTAGGATATGGTGCCTGCTTTTAAAATTTGTCTTTTGGATAGTTCATGAACAGGCTCAATAAAACTGTGCCTGAAACATTTTTCAAATTTGTCGCTTTTGGCGTTTTTAGGGAATTTGTTTTTTTTATTTCACTATTTAAGGCTAATTCCACGTAAACATTGCAAACTCGATATATGTACGATACATAAAAATCAGGATTTCCATTTGTTAAACATATTTTGTTAAACCTCCTACCCATAACAGTGACTTGAAACCGAGTAGATGGCGGGCAGTTTTTTTTAAATAACACATTATGTTAAATAGGAAACCTTTGACATCCAATATAAGTTTTTTGTCAAGTGTTAAACGTGAAAACATCTGAAATGTGAAAATAAAATGAAAAAGATATTTATTGATTTAAAACAGCACGATTTTGAATATTGTTCAAAAGTAGCCAACTATTTATCGACATGGAATATGTGTTTTATAACATAATTTTTCTAGTTTCGTTTGTAATTCTGGTACATGAAATGGATTTGTATACCGTTGTTACAAAATTGACGAAATTCATCACTTTATATGTACATAAAAATGACGAAAAGAACCAATAAGAATTGCTAAATGTGTGTGCTAAATAAGAAACTATAACTGACACTATTCTAGTGCAAAATCGTGATTTGTAAATCGTTAGTCAATACAGATCAATAATCAATACAAGTAATGTAGATCTTTTTCTGTAATGAAAAATCAGTGAACAATTTGTTCCGTTCTTTATCTTAATCACTTAAATGTTAATTAGAAAGCTTATTATCTCGTCTTGAAATGAACTAATGAGTTTACTAACATAGATACGAATCACAAATTCCAGACAAGAAATGTATGACATTATATTTTTTAACGTTTATAAAGCTACATATATATCTCTGTTATCTGCAGTTTACACAAACACTTTTTGTTAAAATTTTGAAATAGGACAACTTCAAAATGCCTTTATGAAAGAAATATGTCGGTACATGCAAATGGCGCTTTCACAAATGCATTGATAAACGGTTTAAAAACCTTTTAAAAATAGCAACCTAATATTTTGTTCCGAACGTTTTACTCTGTTTAATGTGTGTTAAACTACCAGACATTCTATGAGAATTGACCATTAGATTATAGAAAAAACTTAATTCTTATTATATAATTCTTCTTATAAATTTTTATATAACTCACAAATAATACATAAAGCTCATACCATTTAACGGTAAATGTTGTATTCAAAATGTCTGTTATAACTGCAAAATTTACGACATTGCTATTCACAATGATATACTAGAGAATCATTTTGAAATAAATCATTCACAAAACTACCTCCTTAATTAAGTTAATCCTTACTGAAAGAAGTAACGAATTCAATAAAACAAAATACGTTTTCAATTATGGTATAAAACGCGTAATTTCTTGTGACGATTTTACTGTTTCAATTAACAAGATTATCTTACCTTGAGAGACTATCAGGACACAAAAACTGAACGTTAAAATCCGCCTCATTTTTAGTTTCCTATGACAAACAATATAGGTATAATATTAGATTTAAGAACGACACAGTGTCGCCTTTCACTACTTGCCGCTTCTCTATTCCACGTGCTGAACCGTTACAAAGTTTCCTGGAAACTATTGGTTACCAATAATGCATCTTGGCAACGTTACCATAAAATTCTCTGGCATTGAAGTACTTCGTTCTATCGATCCTTTTATATTTGTGAAATAATTATCCTCACACTAGTCTAATTTGCGAATAATTTTCAGTAATATTTGTTTCAAACTCTGCAAATGATAATGAACTGAAAAACAATAATATTAATTATTGAAGCATTTACACAACCACCAAGTTATACAAGCGTTAACGCATTGAGTTTATTCGGTTTTCTTCTGTCTCTTTAATTATACATGTTTTCTAGCCAGTTATTTATGTCAGAAATTGGCATGTTTTGTATTTCAAAGAAATTTGATTGCTTTTTGTAACGCCTCATTAAGCTTTTATATAAATATTTCATGAATGTTTTAACGGCGTTTAGAGGCATTGCATTACACATGATGGTATAGAAACTTGTTTCAATTTGAATCATAAAATCTCCGTAAATGGAAGCCGTATTAACGACGTAAAAATACGATGATTTGATTAATTAATAACAGATTATATTGAAATACCATCTCATGTACATGGCTTGTACCATTTGTCCTAAACTTTAATACATAATTAAATCATTTTTAGCAATTTTGTTGTCATTGTATAGCTGTATGTTGTTGCAGGAAGTAATTCGTCGACGTTACGAACATCGCCAATATATTTCGATTCTTACAGAATAACCGATACCTTTCAAGTGGAGTATAGCCCCTCTGTCGGATTACATTTCGGACTGATTGAGTTAAAACCTTTCTAGTGCTTAAGAAACGTCCATCGAGACCCCCTAATATTGAAAATTTATGTCTATATTTCCAAATAAACTGTCCCCAGCAACGATTATTTTACCATTTATTCCAACGTGAAACTACGAAAAGTGGGACACATGTACGTTTAAAATAACAGTAAAAAGCTAAGGTACGACGCATTTGCCCCTCCTTTTAGTTGTTTAATAGCATCTATTTTATAAAATGATTTAAATTTGTTTAATTATAATTTACTATCATTCCAAGAGAGTCTTTTTTAATTCGTATTTTAAAACTTAGAACATGTCTTTACACTACTTAAGTATATTTAATAGTCCCATAAATTTTGCTCTTGGTTATTCTAATTTAATTGGAGTTAAATGTTTTATATAAACATATAATTGGATCGAAATGTTTTATATAAACATAGAGAGGTAAGGAAGAATTAAAACGTATATGTCATCATAATTATTTGTACATTTTTCATTTGTCTTTTAATACGGTTCTTTTACAACTTCATTCTGTTCATTTCTTATAGCATACCGGCACGAATTTGTAAATTCTTAATACCATAAGTTTGCCTGTAATAAGCGACAACAATGGTATGATCATTCGTTAAGATTTTAAAATAAAAATAAAAATAGTGCAAACAATGTTCTAAGGGAGACAACTGTTGAAAACCAACTCTACAATACAAAATTACGTTAACCAATCAGCGTATCAAAATTCACAGCACTGGTCTCATTTGAATAAAGACGTTTCAAAAATAGTTTTCATATACACAATGTACAAAATTTGTTCAACGCTGTATGTACATTGAAAGACTGGTTAGAACTGGTTAGTGCTCGTCGGTTAATTGCTAATATGCTGACATAAATAGTGTCAAATCTGGCTGGAATATTGACTTTTGAATAATATATACACCCGTAGTGCAGTTAATGCAATTTCCTTGTACAATCAACTACAATAAAACTTTAAATCACAAATATATGAAAAGCAGCATTGTACATGCATGCACGGAAATTACTGACAAGTTATCAGTGAGATCAATTGATATTTTAACAGGACAAAAGTTTATCTTCATTTATTTTTAACACTGACAAAATACAAATTTGATTTCATAATGCTTGCATACAGCAAGAATATTTATGACTTAAACAATTTAAAATTATGTCCTTACAATGAATTTTATTTAAATGATTGTTTATTGTTGTTTTTTGTTGTTTTTTGTTGCCAGGACTATAAATATTGCATTGCAAAGCTATTTACCGTATACCAGTATCGGTAAAATATGGAATGTGTACCGTGGGTTCCGACGATGGAAATATTTAACTAGAATAAAAATAGATTTATCTTTAATTTAACATTGTAGCAATTAATTTTATTACAAATAAAATACATAATTTGAACAAAGGAATAAAAGCATTGATAAATGTTATCAAAACCAAAACTTACCAGTCTTTTTATACACAAATTGCAATTCTAAAAAATAAATTAAACGTGGTATTTTTGAAAGTCACCGTCCTTGTTGATTTGGCTATTTCATGATGTTGTCTATATATAGTATCTATAATCGTTTCTTTCACTTTCTGTCTAGTGAAAAGGGCCTGTTTCATTTAAGAATGTGTAACAATGATACAACAAGTGTAATATGATTAAAGTCATTTGTTACATTACGTGTATATAGACGTCAAATATACGGCCTTTTAAGTAAGGTCTTTACTTTTTGATGAACACTTATATAAGTCGTTTACAAAGTATCATATATAATTCACAATGTTGTTTTACCATGTCACATGTGTATGACAAATGACAAATAATATTGATTTGATAAGGCTAAAGCAATATACTAGTACATGTGCCGTATCCGAATACTTGCTATCCGGATTGCTGATACTGTTTTAATGTTTATGGTGGCAATTACAAAAAAAAATTCTTAAAAAATCAATGTAATCAAATTATTGTGTGACATCACAATAACATTAAACTTATTGTTCCATGAACTTGTAGGTTTCGAAGTTTGTAGAATCTTAGAAAAAGATAATTTCATGACTGTTAATAAATTGTTATTCAGTATTTGAAAGATAGAACTTTACGAAATTACCTATTTATTAGATAGATTAAAGTGATAATACGCTCCTTTTTCTCTGTTAAGTTGACTTTAGTTAGTAATATATATTTCAAAAGATTGACTATTATAATGGTGATTGACCAATAAATGTTACTGACAAATGTTATGATAAAATATAAAAACTACCTAAATTACAAAGACTGTCCCACTCCTTTTTTTAATTTAACTTTACAGGTATATTCCGAGCGAAATTTATAGAAATATCCTAGGGTCACGTGGATAATTGATTATATTTGTATAGTTTGACATTAGTTTTCGTGAGCAAACTATCTGTACAGAACTTTAGTTTATGTTGTCGTAGTTCATTCAGAGTGGTGGTATTTAGTGGATATACAGTTTTGCTATGGATTCACTGTACATTTATTACATATTACGATGGCAGACGGAACAATTAACGATTTAACAGATGCTAAAGACTATGTTGATTCAGTGATTCAAAGCCCATTATTTGTGAACTGTACAAGTGAAAGTAAGTGCTACACAAGGAAAAGACACTTGAGCGAAAGTAACCTATTAGATGATAGTGATGTTTGTGTTAAATCGAGACGTGTTGTACAAGGTAAGAAGTCTAGTACAGGTAGCCCTGATTCAGTAGATTCTGTAAATGCTGCAGACAATTCTGTTTTACTAGAAGACTTTTCTTCTTCATTTAAGAAACTCTCTGAAGAAGTTGCTTCACATAACAACAATATGAATGACAGAATAGACCAACTTGAGGTAAAGATTTATCACAAAATTGGTAACATGATTGATAAAAGTATCAACGCAGAGGCGAAAAAGATAAGTGCAGATGTAAATAGACAAATATAATTCATTCACAGATGAAATATGCTAGGAAATTGCTCATATAGAAGGAAAAGTGCAAAAGATTTCAGAGGCTGCCGAACCTGGTAATAATAATTCTAATAGGAAGTTGAATATTGTGATTAGGGGTTTGGCATAACATGAAGGTGAAAACCTGAATAGAAAAGTTGATTTGATGATCATGAATGGTCTTGGTGTATCTGACGTGTCTGTACTAAAAACAGAAAGAAAAACATCAAACAGAGAAGATTATTGTGGGCTAGTAATTGCCTCATTCCAGTCTCTGGATAACAGAAGAAAAGTTTTGTCAGTGAAAACCAAGCTCAAGGATTCCAAATAATATGATACTGTATTTATCAACAAGGACGAGTCATATGAAGAGCGACAGGCAAATATGAACTTTAAAGTAATTGTTAACGCCCTTAGAAATGAAGGTAGTAATATAGCGCTACAAGGAAATCGTGTTGTACATCAAAACAACAGGGATGATGAACGGATGTCGAGATCCCAGGACTCAAATAGTCAAAAAGAAAATCGCAATTCTTACGGGAATCGCGGATCATGACCGAACAGGAAGAATAGTGAGGATAATGACTCTTATATGAAAAAGAGGAATGAAAACAGATATAGACACAGTAATGACAATAGTGACCGTTATGCAAATAACAGAAATGAAAACAGTAATAATAATGATCAACGTAATAACGGGAGCAATGCTCATAAAAAGCAAAATGAAAATGACAGACTTAATTCTTTTTCAGACAGGTCTAAACAGTCAACCTACAGAGGGCGTAGAAGAAGTAACAATGGAAGAAACAGAAATAACAGAGGCAACTCGAACTATAGTAGTTAGATATTAGCAGGTTTTTGGAATGTCAGATGGGTTTAATTGTAACCAGTTGTCTGATAATTTTAAATTAAGGTCAAAATGTATATTTTTTTTAAATACAGATATAATTGGTGTTGCTGAAACACATTTGATGGGTCAAGATGTTTTGAATTTAGAAAATTACACCTTGTACGGCAATAATAGAAAGCAGATACATCGTAATGCTAGAAAGGATTTTTTGTAAAGAATAGTCTTTTACTTGATTTTAACATCTCAACTTTATATGATACATTAGATGACATACTATGGTTGAAAATGCAACATAAATTTGAAGATTCTTGTATGTCACAGGGTGAGAAAAATGTGCAGACTGACCGGGACTCGAACCCGGGACCTTCGGAATACCGTTCCGCGGCTCTACCGACTGAGCTATCCGGCCGCTTACACATCTTCTCGCCTAAATAGTGAACAGTTCTGAACCGTGACATACTTCACCACAATATTGAAATTCGTCCTCGAATTTCACAAAGCTACAGAGCAATGCTAATTGAACTCCGAGCTATAATCAGTCACGGTCCCCCGTCGGGCGCCAATTTGTTACAGGGTGAGAAAAATGTGCAGCCTGACCGGGACTCGAACCCGGGACCTTCGGAATACCGTTCCGCGGCTCTACCGACTGAGCTATCCGGCCGCTTACACATCTT